GGGGGGGGGGGGGGATCTGGTGTTTCGAGTTCGACGGGGGTGGATTGTCCCGGAAAATAGGGGATTGGGTTGACGCAGACGGTGAAAATGTCTGACAGTGAGGACACTGATGCCTCGGGGGCCACCGAGTGGCCAGCGACGCCTGTCACGAAGGAATGGCTCGAGAACATCCTCATGATTCATCATGGAGAAGGCTCCAGCATCAGTGTCAATGACTTCGAGGTGAATCCAGGGTGCACCGCGGGGGAGTCTGTACTCAGTGATATTCTAGCTGTCACCATTGATTACACTCTTGGTAACGATAACAATCGTCTCAATGTCATTGTCAAATTACTCCCACAAGACCCGTTCAATCGGTTCTTCGTTACTGAGGCGCAGTTCGATCTGCGGGAGATCAAGTTTTACACTCAGGTGAGGGAAACATTTTTTTAAAATCGTTTTCGTACGATAATCCTCGCGGAATTTGATGGATTTATTATTTTTGTCAGGTTGTCACCGATCTGGAGGATTTGAGATGATTGGGAGAAAAATTGAAGGTTTTTTTTTCAGAGAAATTATTGAATTTCAGTCAGAGTTCTGTTAAAATTCTATGAAAAATGAAAAATTCAGAATTTTTCAGTAGAAATCTTCCTTATCAAATATTCCCCTTTAAAAACATCATTAATTGTATTCCCCCCAATTATCCATTCTAACGAAACAAAAATACTCGATCCACTGGCGACTGCAAATTTTTTAAAATCATTTTCATATGGAAATTGTCGCGGAATTTAATGAATTTATTATTTTTGTCAGATTGTCATCGATCTGGAGGATTTCACACTTGAAAAAAATTGAGAGAAAAATCAAACGTTTTTTCAAATTTTATGAAAAATGAAAAATTCCGAATTTTTCAATAGAAATCTTTCCTATTGAAAAATTTTCTAAAATCATTTTCATCCGGAAATCGTCGCGGAATTTAATGGATTTATTATTTTTGTCAGGTTGTTACCGATCTGTTGGATTCCACATATAAAAAAATTCGAGAGAAAAATCAAACGTCTTTTCCCTACAAAATATTCCCTATCAAACATTCCCCTTAGAACCCCATGAACCCATGAACTGTCTCTCCCCCAATTATCTCTGGCGACTAAACAATTTTTTAAAAAATCGTTTTCCTACGAAAATCCTCGCGGAATTCACTGGATTTATTATTTTTCCAGGTTGTCACCGATCTGGAGGCATTTCTGAAGAAGCAACTTTCGTCCGAGACCGAGTGCATCGAGCTTCCAATCCCAAAGTGCATTCACGCCCATTACAAGCCAGCCGGTGGCACTGAGGACACCCCAGAGCCCCCCGAGTCTTTCCTAGTTCTTGAAAATTTACGTAATCGCGGCTTCGAGGGTGCCCAAGTCTCCCGCGGCCTGACATTAAGACAAACCGAAGCGGCATTGAGCGCAGTCGCTTGTCTCCACGCGCTATCACTCACACTTAAGGTCAGGGAGGCGACACCACTGTCCGAGCGTTATCAATTTTTATTTCAAACGGCCAGGGCAACGGACTCGTATCAGATGCTGGTTGAGCGTGGCCTGCCCCAGTTGGCCCACTTTTTGGAGCGTCGACCCGGTCTTGAGGCCGTCCTAGAGTCGCTGCTGGCGCTCAGACCCAAGACTAAAGAGATTATCTCATCGTTACTTGCGCCTGAGGACCCCCTGGCACTCATCACCCACACGGATTTCTGGTGCAATAATTTGTTGTTCAAGAACGACGAGGATGGCAACTGCAAGTGCGCCATTCTCGATTGGCAAATGGTCACTTACAGTCGACCAACTAACGACATTGCTCTGCTGCTTGTGAGCTCAGTCCCCACTGAATTGAGGAGAATTAACACACCTGGCTTGTTGGACAAGTACTGGGAGACACTAACGACAACTTGTCGATCACTTGGCCTCGATATTGGCGAGGAATTGGGCTATGGTAGGGATGATCTTGACAGGGATTATCGAAGATCACAACTATTAGCTCTACTACTTTGTATTGGCTCTGTTGATGTGGCCTTTGGGGATCCACTCACTGAGCAGAGGCTCATTGATGTACTCGAGGATTTTCACAGGGATGGAGTGCTCAATGTCGACAGCATCGAGGCAGCAAAGTAGATTTTTAATTCACTGACGATATGAGATATTAAGTAACAAGTTTTGTCGAACATTTTGAGAATAATGTAATTGAAGGTGAATATATGTGATGTTTATCCACTCTATGTTTCGACGGTTTGGAGGAATGTTCATTTATATTTTTTTGGGCTTATTTTGTAAGAGAACAGAACAGTATTTCAGTATTTAATGGTGGGGATTTTTTAATTGACGTTGTAGGGACTTTCGTCGAGGGGACGATGTTTCTGGCTCGATTTCTATGGGGAGAGAGAGAGTGAGGGGCTCGTTGGCGAGTGATTCACTCTGGGGGAACGGTAGTGAGCCAAAAAGTTTATGAAATCGAACCGCAATTTATCGAGACTGAGGCTCTATAGTGGCTTTGGGGGCATGAAGCTTTGGGGGAATTTTAGGAGAAAACGAATGACGATATGTATTGCATTTGCATATGCTCAGCTGAAAGAAAGTTTAAGAATAAACGAGAGAAATCGATATTGTAATTTACGTATTTACGTAGAGAATTATTGTAATGTATGGTGGGTTTATTATTTTAAGCAGTGGGGGAAAACGGACACTTTTGACTCTTTCAGAAAAGAATTTGTCGAGAATTCAAAATTTTTTATTCCCTATTTTTTTTTTATTCCCTATTTTTTTTTTTTATTCAATGAGTTGATTTTTCTGAAAAATTCAGAAGTGTCTGTTCTAAACTCATCTTTTCTAAAAAATCTAGCACTTTCTGTAAGAATTCTATCTGTTTTTTCGCACTAAGCCTGTCGAAATCATAAATTATGAATTGCGATTTTTTACGAGAACTCGAGCAAGAATTCTCAATTTTTCGTCATCGATTTTATTATGATAAAAAATTTTGAATGCAAGAAAATACATTGACTTTTTCCTATCAAAATATCCCTTGAAAAAATAACACAACAAACTTGCATGATCTTTAATAGAATCAGTGGAAAAAACGTTTTTTAATTAAATTTTGTAACATCAACGAGCGAAAAATATCTCCGAGTATTTTCTTCGAAAGTAATAGCATAAGATTTTGTATGTTTCGTCATTTGCATCAACTTTATACTGACCATAAAAAAAATTCAAGTTTTTTATCATCAAAATAATATCAACTCCAATCCCCGGAGACCGGTATGCAAATGAATACCGCATTTTTTTATGCCGAGAACGTTTGTTTGATTGATGATTTCACGAGTGTGTTGGAAAATTGTCTTTCAATGTGAAATACCCCCAAATAAATCTCTGTTTCACCCGATACCTGGCACTTTCTCTAACGCCCTTACCGTCTCACTCTCGAGTCACAATAATCTCGGGATGAATAATAAATAAAGTATGGACTTACCGATGCCGTTACCCCGCCCGCGATGAGAGCATTTCTCTTGTGTTTATTATCTTGTTCGTATCTTGTATACAACTTGCGGCCGACCCAGACGGGAATACCTGAATTCAAACATCCGAATTTTCGTGATTTCTCTTGAGAACATTTTTGTTGAAAAAAAATACTGGGTTTATTTTTCTAACCTATTATCATGGCAGGAACTGCGATTCCAGCAACAAGGCCAATGCCGACTGGTGCACCCACGAGGGTGCCAAGTTGCCAGAGGATTTTTTTCTTTCGTGACCATGGCTTTTTACCCCAGAATGTGCAGCCAGAGGGACTAGCAAAATAAAACAATGATCACAAGTAGAATTTAATTGTAAAGTGGTAAAACAGGAAATTTGAGTTGAATTGTCTGTCTGCAATAGCGAATAAGTCGAGAATGGCTGAGTGAAATTTCCTGATTTTTTTCGAGCTTTGAAATGGGCGCTGACTCATCCAAATCGCATTGGAATTTTTTTTCAAGTTCAGAAAATCCTCTAAATTTTTTTTTTACATTTCCTATTATTTAATTAAATGGGGAAAACGGACATATCACAATTTCCAACTTGAGTTGATAAAACTCGCATAAAAAATGATAAAACCTCAATAAAAATGACATTTCATTCTCAAAGTATTTTTTCAAGCCTCAAAATAAGCCCTGACTCATCTAAATGCCACCTTTTCCTCAGGAGATAACGATTTAAGACGCTTTCACCCCAGGAATTCGCACATCAAATTAGGAATTTTATTATTCGATCATCAATTAGATAATAATTCATTTCAGACTAAAATTTTCCCCCAAACGTGAAAAAAATTGAGAAAACCCCAATGAGAATGGATTATTCGCGAAAATAATTGCCGATAACAATGACATTTCACCTGAGATAATGGAGATCACTGATTTCCTTCATACACAGCCAGCAAAATTCAGCCCCACAAACGGCGCAAGTCATGTGATTACAGCTGCCATCGTCCATCTTAACGATAAGCACTTGACACCTCGGGCACGGTTTGATATCATCCCCTGAATCATCATTACATTAATCATCAGATAACAATTCCCACAGATAAAATAAACAAGAGAAATTAGTGGCGATTAATTGTCGAATGCCCGAGGAATCGACGAATGCATGAGATCAACGAGAAAATAAAGTCTCAAACAAGTTCAATTATTTAAAAATAGACTCACTGTGTTGTGAATCACTCTGACTGAAGCTGAGCGATGAAGTACGATCGTAATGCTGGGACCTCTGCGCCCTGGCAGCATCGCAAGTCTGATTGGGATGCCACCGAGCTTTGCAGTGATAACAGAAGTAGGAGTCACATCCAGGTCTCTCACATCTTAATTTAGGGCAAGAAGCGCAGCCACTGGCGATAACAGCGAAGCAGCAGTCGGGGGCTGGACACCATCTGGCGTCAGGCTCGACAGCCAACACCCTTCTGACCATGAAATCCTCGTACTTTTCCAGCTGAACTTGATCATTCAAGATCATTCGAATGTCTAGAGAGAGAAAAAAACGTGTGCGTGACGAGGGAAATGCGACAGTCACTGCATATCATTGCTTGATTAACATTCATGCGAATCTCCTCACCGTTTGGATGAAGTGGCTCGGCGCACTCTGGACATGCAATGTTGACACGTGACTCGGATATCTCAACCCTCAGATACTGCTGGAAGCAGTCGTAACAGCTGCGATGGTGACACGACTGGATTATTGGAAATAGTTCGAGGGGCAACTCTGCTAAACACAGTGGACACTCAACCAGGCCATTTTCACAACTCTGGAAGTGAATGTTGAATGATTATGAAATCGGTTTTTACGATAGTCGTTGACTGCTAAAATACTCAATCCAATCTCGCAATTTTGATTAATGGAGACGCTGGAATAATTTGAATATTATTCAGACTTGTGGACAAGTCGTTGAATATAAAAATGTTTCATGCAATTTTGTAATTTTTATTAATTAGGAGGAGACGACTGAGGAAACGCGAAATTTAAGTTTGATGCCACTAGACTTTCGAATAATATCAACGTTCGTAAAATCTATTCAATGGGATTGAAAATTTAGAAGAATGAGGAAGATTCTACGAATTTAATTGAGCAATTTTTTCCGGCTCATTAAAAATTACGGTCATATGAGTAAAAAGTAAGAACAATGAAATTAGTCCACAGAAAATTTCCTCGGGAAAATCCCGGTATCTTAATTGAATTCAAAGTTATTCATGCGGAAACTATAGCAAAGGAAAATTCATAGAATTAATTGGGCATGATTTTTTAGAATAACTTCAGAAGTGCAGTTGTTTTAGCTATGCTTTTAAGCCAACGAACCTTTCCTGCTGTTGACAAAACCGAGCCCTTGCTGGTGGCCCGATGAAGGTCCGAGCTGTGATACTGCAGATGGCTAGACCCACTGGTCCCCCTGGCCTCCCCCTTCTCTACATCAATAGTCTTCCCAGCATTCCCATCCTTGCCTGTAATCCAACCATCCCAGTCTTGATATTTTTATCCTCTTCGATCATTCCATCGAGGAGGATAAAAACACGCAGAAAAAAATTTCATGGAAGTGCCCAGCCAATTGAATTGAAAATTGCACTTCTTTGAGAATTTCATTAGCTCTAGTTTTTTTACAGAAAATGTTTAATAGAAACTGTTTTGTTAAAAAAAAATGAACAGAATTTTATCTTTCTACATAATTTTTTCTATCGAAACATTTTTCATAGGAATTCTTCGACATTTCTAATTGTTTTTTTGCCACTTCAACATTTTTATTCATTAGAAAAATCAAACAAAATATCTTGGGAAATTTGAGCCAAGGACTTTCTGCAGAAAATATTTCAATAGAATAAATTGTATTAATTTCTTTCTATAGAATATTTTCCATCGGGCATTTTCAAAAGCTCAATAGCTCGATGTGAAAGATTAGATTATTTTGTTTTTTTGGTTTGTTTGTAGAAATAAATAAATAATGCGGAAGGAGAGAAATATTGACTCGATGATTAATTTTTTTGTTATTCCCACATTTAAAACTTTCATCTTCAAATCAGCCAACGACCGCAGAGGCCAAAGCTTCGAAATAATTCAAAATTCAGTGCAAACTTCTCTGCGAAATGGAAATTCAATAGAATTTGCTAGCGTATTCGCTAGGTTTCTCGATGAATTTTTTCACGTGAATGAATACCTTTGTTGCTCCTGTTGCTGGAGCTCGCTGCCCTAGTGATCCTCTGTCCCAGGAACGGACTAGAGTACAACAATCTCCTCAACGAAAACCTCGGCAAATACCTCCTCGCTCTGGCAGGAGCGGTATTGCAACCACTGACAGACTCGCCTTCTTTCATCATCCTCAGTGTTTATTACATCCTCGTCACAATGACATTCAGGGTCTCAACCCTCCACATAGATTTACCGACATAAATCTGGTGGATAAATTAATCACAGTATGAGAGAAACGGGGCCTTCGTGCGGAATCAGTAAAAATTATGATATTCCACCTCGGAATTATTCAGAGTATGAAGTAATCCACCAATCATTTTCATTTTGTTTAAGCTTCACCTACTTTACGATAATTTGGGAGACAATTCTCCAACATATCCAGGAGACGAATAAATTACGTAAACTCAAAACTGATGCATAAATAAAATAAATAATGAATTATTTATTTGATTTATGCATCATTATTATCGAAATGACATTTTTCATCGTAATAATGTTTCTATAAACAAGTTCCTTACAAAAATAAAGAACGAAACTTGCGATTTGACTCTTTATTTGCAAGCAAAATGCCTGAAATTATTTTTGATAATGTTAAAACAGTCGAAATTTCCAACTATTTGTTAATAAGATGAAACATCATACTGTATCCATATAGCTTTACCTCCTGAGTTGCTTCTGATAACACCCAAATTACGTGAACAAAATTTAAAATAAAGAATAAATAATAAGTAGTACTTTGGCACGATTGTCAAAATGACCAGTATAATAATAGTGTCTTTGTTAACAATCTCCTTTCAAAAATAAAGAATGGAACTTGGATTCATAGATCGGCATCAATAATGATAATAATAATAATAATAATAATAATAATAATAATAATTTTACTTCGATGTAATTGCATCAATCATAACATTAGCAATATTATGAGAAGTTGCATCTCTTACAATAATCAAGTTATTACTTCATTGAAATTTGAAAAATAAATATAATAAAATTGGTAATTTAATTTTCTCAATTATTGGTTGATAAAATAATTCGGAATTTGAATATTTAAATTGATGGCTAATTTAATAATAAAAAATTATTGAAAATTTAATTGCAATTAAAAATTATGATTATGCCGATGTCTTCATTTATACACAAAATGTCTGAAATGATAAAATTAAGGAAATTTGAATTTCCTGGAAATTCCTATCAATTTTTAATAAGTTTAAAAATCGAAGTGTATTCGTAAAGCTTTGAAGTACCTCCTGTGACTCCGGAGAACCAATAAATTAGCGGTACGTGCGTTGATAAAATTGGTAATTTAAATTTCTCAATTATTGGTTGATAAAATAATTCGGAATTTGAATATTTAAATTGATGGCTAATTTAATAATAAAAAATTATTGAAAATTTAATTGCAATTAAACATTATGATTATGCCGATGTCTTCATTTATACACAAAATGTCTGAAATGATAAAATTAAGGAAATTTGAATTTCCTGGAAATTCCTATCAATTTTTAATAAGTTTAAAAATCGAAGTGTATTCGTAAAGCTTTGAAGTACCTCCTGTAACTCCAGAGAACCAATAAATTAGCGGTACGTGCGTTGATAACGAACAAATCGCCAGTCTCTAAATAATTCATAGAGCGAAATTTCACGGAAGGTGAAAATATTTCGATTTCACGATTACCCCCCACTCGTTCACCTCCTTTCCATCCTCGGGAGAATGAATAAGTGACTTTCGATTGATTCACAGTGGTTTCAGCATTGACAACTGGCCGAAACAGCTGATGCTCTTGATACGTGATTGTGAACTGGCTAGTGCTGCGACAAAAGCCCATCGTCAGCGAATCCATGAGGAAATCGCGGTGGGGAAGGAGCTGAACGAGGGGGTGAGGGCGAGTGAACACGACCCTGGCGCCTCCATTGGGTGAAATGAGGAAAAGCTGGACGTAAATATTGGAATTATTTTCTCCCCATTTCTTTTATTGCGCACTGTCACGACAATTCGCGGGGGGGAACTGATGCTTTTGAGGGTTAATAACCCATTAACCTCAAAAATAGGAGCGATCAATGATGGGTTTAACACCAGGCGAATGTCACTCCATTTTGGAAACACCAAAGTCGTTTTCAATGTACCAAGGACAACGGCTATTTTACGACGGGGGACTACGTCGGTCGGGGATTCGTTATCTCTGTGCGCTTCAGAGTGATTCAATTGCTGAAATGTGACTCACCGAGAATCCGATAAACTGGTATTTCCGTGCGTCGATGGGGAAACATCAGCTTTCACTTGTTGCACGGGCTAAAATTGGAGTTAATCCATGGGTTGTTCGGGTATCACGACCGGGGGATTATTTTTACGGCGGGTTTTTTCGCACTTGAGGGGATGACTGAGGTGGGGATGATGTGGTGAAGTTTGGGTTTTGTATTTGTCGGGGGTTTGGAGCACTTCGCACGGACTGACAGACACTTCACACGTTGACTTGGTCACAATCATGGGGACTAGAGGGAAGGAGGGGCGCGAGTGGGGGCCACTTTTGTGGGTAAAATCTCTTGACGGAGGAGGTGTTCCGCGGAACTTGCGGGGGCGCTTGTAGCTGGATATTGCCGGTAAGAAGGCTCATGATAACGTGCCGACGATGGAGAAGTGATGAATTTTCGAATTCATTTGAAAATTGAATTAAACATAATGATTTTAGGGAACGTGAGGTAAAACGGCCCCTTTTCATTTTTTGAAAAATGTTAGCAGCTCATTCACTTTTAAATAAAATGGAATAATTTTTTTTTCCATGGAAACTACACTTCTTCCCCTTTAGAATGAGCCTAGATTGATCTCAATTTATGAATTTATTCCAGAGTTAAGAGTATCACAAAAAAAGTCAAAAGGGGCCGTTTTACCCCACTCTCCCTTATTCACAACTACAACAGGATATTTACATTATTTATTGTTATGTATATAAAAAATAGGGGCGGGTGGGGTAAAATGGACACTTTCGGCTTTCCCCCGGAAAAAATTCAAGATCTGGCACTTTGGCCCCGGGTGAAAAAAAATTTTTATTTCGACATTTCTCGCGCCTCCGAGGGTTTCATTGGCCTCTCAATCGTGAGTAGATACAGAATCAACTAAAAATCTGAAAAAAATTTGGAAAGTTCACTTTTTTAGGAAGATTGATGAAATAATTTATAAACAACAAGGTAAAAATAACTGCCGGGAATTTTATGGTAATACAGAGCCAAATTATTTCCATCAAGATGAACATTACGAATATCCAGGGGGAAAATAAAATGCAAATTATGTACAGAAATGTTTTATTCCTTAAATTATGCACAATTGCAATCAATACAAATGTATCTGAAACAAGCAAGTTGGGGGATATCTCAGTGTTCATGGGCTGCCAAAAACTCGACCTTAATCATTATTTTTTCTCATTTCAAACCAAATTGGCAGCGCACACAGTTCCGTTTACAATTATTTAAGGTGTCAAAATACGTACTTTGTTTAGTTTTTTTTATTTATTAATCATTTTTTCTTTGCAATCAACCATCATCAGTGTATACGTTTATTGCTTTGCAATGATTCATTTTGAGACACGTCCGATTAAGTTGTTGTCATGTCCGGAAGAAGAGATTAAAGACAACTGTTTTAAATTGGAACAAGGCAACACCGCGAGACAATTTAAAACCGCTGACTAAGTGATCATCTATTACTTTTGTATTTTTTTATTTTTACGTGTTTTTTAAAAGTATTTTTAATGATTTTTTTTTGTATTTTTTGTTTAATAGCTTAGTATAGTAAAGCTAATTTATTTGTTCAGACATCCACATTTTTTTATGATTTTTTTTTCGTATCTTTTCGACTAAGTAGTAATATAGTAATAAAGGTAATGCGCTAAATCTGCACTTTCAGCTAGACTTTAGATATCATAAAACATGTATCATTGTTTTTTCCTCTTGTCTGGCACATCATACATTGGTATCGCTAAATATATTGATTTTTCATTCTGTGAATCTGTTTTTTTTTCACATGTTCATTCACTTTCTTTTTGAAATTTTAGTCATTTCCATCTGCCAATTAGCAATTTCATAATTTTCTCTAATCAATCCAGGAATCATCATTATTGACAGATTATAGGTATGACGAGCAAAAATAATTCGTATAAATTAAGGAACAATAATTATGTCGTACAAAAGGACCAAAAGCCATTAATTCCCTTCAAATATCAACCAACAAAATGTTTTTCTCTTCACGATTTTTATCGCAATTACAAACTAATCACTCAAACTGGAAACATAATGATGGGTTAATAAAAAAAATTGAGGGAAAAATAGTAAATCTTGGACAAAAAAAGGAAAATAATAGTAATCAAATAAGAAAAAAAAAATGTTGGATAAAGTTGTTAAAAAACAATTCAACATTGTGCAATTAGAAAGTAATGAGGAAACATCATTGGGAGCCGATAATTCGTTAAATACGAAAATTCAATTTACCAAGCTGCCGATCACAATTCGTAATGGATGCTAATTTCACTCGGTTTATTTTTATTCATCAATCACATCAAATTTACCTCGTCAAACGACCCTGTATCATAACCATTGTTTCACCAATTACCCCAAAGCTCCCAGAATAATTGAATTCTTCCTTTCACGAGTTAAATTTGACTGATCCTCTGTTTAGAATCCCAATAAGATCAACCATTGAATCACTTGATCCTGACGAGAGACAAACATCATTTTATTTCTCAATAAAGGTCGTTGATCGCCATCGAGACACCGTCTCGTGGCATTTTTTTTTTTAATCATTTTTAAAAAACGTGAGGCACGGTTTCATAATCCGGGAAGGGTCTCAAAACATTTATGTCACTCACTTACTCAACGAAACAAGCCCTGTGCACACGAGAGTGCAATGCCACCTCCAATAGATATTCATCATCCCCACGCTCTCAATCAATATCCCAATGAATGTGTCCATATTTATCAAACGCAATGACAGTCAAATGCCATCATTTTTTTTTTTTCAAACTAAACCATGCATGGATATTAATATGTCGTTAAATGTTTCTTTCATCATTTTTTGTATTCGTAAGAACGATTTACTTTAACGTAGAATGATAAATGATTTTACCTTTAATTTTTCTCAATTACTTATGCCTCATCAAAACAACTGCAGTTGATCCTTAATATTGGTAACAAACAGTGTTGAAGAACGAGTAAGTAAGTAGACTAAGTAATCATTCTCCGTTGAATCATTATCAATTAATTATGTTGCGTTCCTCATCAGTTCCTCTCAAAGTCCTTGAATAATCGGGTAAAGCGTCATGTATCCAATTAGCTCAGATGATCCAGCCATTTCTTCAGAGTAGTCAGTGTTTGTTATTTTCTCGGTAAGTAGTTGTTCATGATTTTCTCCGATGTTAACGGTTATTTATTCTCCACTCAATCGTGTCAATCCTTCTTCTACTCTTCGGGGGCTTGAAGAAGATAGTTGGGGGATAGCTATTAGCCACTGGTACCATTTACCAGGGTCTCCTTGGGCTTGTTGTTGGAGGAGGTGCGCCACTGGGGTTGACGACGATCCCTCTGGCCTTTGGGACCCTGTGGACCAGTGCTATTGGAGTTTATGACGTCCTTCGAGGAGGGGGTGCCTTCCTTCGTTACACCGGGCTGGTCGGCCTGTCCTGAATTGCCTGGAGGGAATATTAATTGGCTGATGTCAATGACTTTAAGATATTATTTCACGAGGAGGTGAATTGTTATGGGTGAGTGACGTAAAATGGAACTGCTTAATCTCCAATATCTCCGGATCAAATGATGCGATTTGGATGAGACAGGTTTCATTTTAAAACTTGAAATAATATCTTAAAAATGAATGAAAAATTGTGGAATTCCACTCAGCTATTCTTGCGTTATTGAAGATGAAAGACAGTTCATTTTAACTCTCTTTCGTTTTCCACATAAAAAATTGTGTCTCTACTTAAATAATAACCTTTTTGACTGGTGTCTGGTGTAGCACTGCGTCTTCTTGATCGTATCTGCCTTCGTCTGTTCCCCTTGGGCTTTCCCTCGACACTCGATACAGATTCTACACACGTATTACAAACAAACCATCGTGACCATCCGTGTCTTCAATTATCTACGTTAATCTGTTAGTTGATTAGTTGATTGATCCCATTGGAGCATGGATTGTGTTAAGCGTGCGAGTGGTTAATGAATCCTGGAGAGCCAGGATTTCTGGGTTAGATGGTCACAAGAGTTTGTCGTCTAGCCCATGCTGCATTCAAAAGCTCATTGGTGACGCTGTGATGCTTGATGATGGCGAGTGGAGGAGGCAGGGTGAGAGAGGGATGAAGAGTTATTGATTAATTACCTCGATCGATGCTCGATACGTCTTGGCTGTCGAGGACAGTCTCTTCGTCGTCTGTTGTTCGACGTCTGTCGTCTCTACGATCGCGTCGAGGTGCAGGTGGTCTTCCCTGTCTGTTGCCTGGGTAACTTCCTCCACTGCCACCCTGATGGCCTTGATGACTTCCTCCTCGGGGGGGCAGATCTCTCACTCGCTCGTCGTTGCCGTCCATCGTGTCTCTACGATTGCCTGGGGAAGTTGTGGGTTGACAAAAGACAAATTCAAATCATTTTTTTATCGAATGAAATTAATTTCAAAGCAGCATTTTTTACTTGGTGAGTCTTCATTAAAACAATTTTTGATAATTTTTTGAATGGAAAGAATGGAGAGTTTGATGGAGAATTGAGGAAATGAGAGTTTTTGGTAAATATATCAGGGTCCTCATAAAATTCTATAATCTCTAGTGAGTTCGCAGAAATTTATGGAGGAAATCAAGAGGTGAATGGACTTTTTATCTGGATAATAAGTAAACGATTAATATCATCATAATTTGATGATAGAAATCGCTGAGAAATTTCTTGAAATTCCCGTGGAACTATCGCTTGATAAAAATGCCCAATCTCACAGTGGAAATCATTATTTTTAAAAATGTGAAAAGTTCGGTAGTTAATTAAATTTTTAATCAATTAATTTTTTTTTTGGAATTCTGTGAATTTCCATGGAGTAATGGATTTGAAAATTGCAATTCCCATTAAATTTTCCGTAAAATAATCAATTTTCAGTGAAATTTCAGTGGAACTGTCACTTGATAAAGTTTTGAAGAAGAATTCCATCCCAAATGGAAAAATTGTTACCGGCATTGTGTCGTGCTGGTGCCCTGCCTCGTCCACGTCCCCGTGACTGTCCACCACGTCCACCACGACCTCCACCGCCCTCCTCAGGCCCCGATGACATACCCCGCCTGACAGGTGGAAAACTGGGCATCGGTCCCGTTGTCGAGCCATGCATGCTTCGCAACTGTTGATCTATCTCCAATTTCTCTTGTCGAAGTTGTTCAACTTCCTGGAAATCCCCATGCAATCATGTCCATCAAATTTGCTCTTGTGCACCATTGGAAAATTTTATTTTATCAATCAAAATTACCTTTAAGTGTGCTAAATGATATTCCAACAGTACTTTTGCATTCGCAATACTCTCGACTGTCCCAACAAAAACGAACGGAACCTGACCCTCTTCACGAGGAATCGTCGGCTGTGGCTCATTGTCACCCTCGATTTTCACTCGAACCTGTAGTAAAGAATGCAAACAATGAATTAATTCAAATGTCTAACGATTTCACGGATGAAAAACTTTAATTGGAAATTCTAGAATTTTTTCTGAAAAATAGCATTGGAGTTTTATCCGTATTTTATTTATTTTTATAGCAAAAGCCAATAGAGTGTGGTTTTTCCAGATGAATTATTCTCTTGAGATTTTTTCTAGCAGAAATGGATAAGGATAAGTGAATAAAAGTGGGTAATTAGACATCTATTGACTTTTATAAAATAAATAAAGTTTGCATGAAATTCTAATAGAACTCCTCAGAGAAAGCGTCAGATTTTTCACTCAATTTTGTTTTTCATCCGTGCCTTTATCCAGATGAAGACACCCAGATTAGATCCAGACTTTATCCTAAAAAGTGAGAATGATGAGGTATGAATTTTTGTAAATTCAATATCAAAAAATCGAACAAGTAAAAATTTTTAATAAGCAATTACCGTCATTTCTATTCAAAGCAAATTGAGATCAACATCTCGGGGTGTTTGACAAAAATAAGAAAAATGAAAAGAAAATCATTTGCAAAAAAATCCAAATTTTCCTACCTTTCGTTTCAATTATTAAAATGGCTTTTTCATAAGTTGATAGAAATGAAAACTGGCCCGAGTGGTTCATGTATACATTCGTGTATAATTTTCTCAAGAATACTAGTATTATTCTCTCCTCAATCTAATGATCACTGATGTTTTCTCTCTTTATCCCACAATTTAATCTCTCATTTGTTTGTTTTTGATGGAAAAGATGAAATAAAGGCACAAACAATATAAGGTAATATACTTACTCTATCAGTATGTACATTCCCACTCGAGCCAGATGTAATCTACCGAAAACAAACAATGCACTGTATGTCACATAAAAAAATCCTCTTAAAAAGCAATTGAATCTTGAATCCTTGATTAATTTTTCATCTCTTTGAATAATTCAACTACTAATTCGATCGTTGCAATAAGTAAGACTAGATTATAATCGAATCTTCCCCCCCAGAGTCTGGTCCATTGTCGTTTCAATCGTTTATTTTTAGTATAATTGAAGAAAATCAATGTAACAAAATAACACAGATGATTAATAACACTCATTGTAAAGTAAAAATTGTAAACAAAAAAAATGTATCTCGGTCTTGCTGAACCGTGGATAACTCTTGTGGCATTCATAAGCAGTTAAAAAAAGTCTCAAAACTTATTGCAAGCAATTCATTGTTGATTCACGATTTGAAAAATTATAAATAAATGGGGATGAGAATAAACGTGATAAATAGCTACTCACAACACCGCTTTTATCCACTATTTCCTGAATAATGCGGCCATTCTTTCCAATAACTTTTCCCACGAGGACTCTTGGCACTTGTATGGACTCCTCACTGTACTCGAGCATTGAACGTGCTTTCTTCACAGCCTCGTGAGTCTGCAATGAAAAATTTCATCGTGTTCAGGTGCATTCAGTCGTACCAATGGGTAGAATTGTCAATTGGCGATATTACCTCGCCGTATATTTTGAATGTACACGAATTCTCTTCCAACTCGATATTCGTTATTCCCTCGACTTTTCGCGCCTGCTGGATGTTTGCCCCGTGTGCACCGATCGCCAGACCCATCAGGTCTTCACGGACATTGAATTCGTCTGTGTATCTGATGACAATTGAAATTTCATAGTTTTAAATCGTCAGGTTTTTATTTCGTTTATTTTTGACGAGTCGAAATATTCAGGAGAAAAATATTCTATTGGATTTTTTTTTCTGCAAATTTGTATTGAAAATTATTTGATTTTGCCAAGTTTTTAGAACATTTTTTATTAAAAAAGTCAATAGATGTTGTTTTTTCTGTACAACTTCTTCTCTTGCAATTTTTTTCATGAAATGTAGTGGAAAAAAATTGGAAAATTTACGTTCAAGTTTTATTATTTTAAAGATCTCAAAGTAATACTCCATGGATAAATTTTTTTATTCATCATTTCCTGTGCTGTGAAGACTTTTTGAGTTCTTTCTTTTCTAAAAAAAATCGCCACAATATTTTTTTTTCGGATTCCAAGATAATTGTCAGAACCTTAACCTCTATACTTTTTTTTTCTAAAGCAAAAATAGTGAAACTCTCATGATACGAATGTGGATGTTCCACAATGAAATTTGCAATCACATCTATAAAAGCATGAAACAAAAGGAAGTCGTGTCATCTGTCGTGATAAAAAGCTGAAAACAACGGAGAAAAATATAGCGCTGTAAACAATATCCTGTTTCTCAAGCCCACTAAACATCGCGTGCAATTGGAGCCCATGCATATGAGATTATGAATTCTATGAATGCGGATCGATATTCTCTCACTCCGTATCAACTAAAAATAAAACATTTCTCTTTCGCGAATTGTTATGAATGAGTGACGCAACAAGTGATTCTGGGATGCTGAAGGCTCTCGTTAGGAACGGATTTGATCGAGAGGTCAATCTTACGAGAGAGGATCGTCAGTCTGAAATTGCACTCGAGCTAAATTCTATCATCAACAATATTTAATTTTTTTTGTCATTTAAAAAAAAATGAAAAAAAAAATTAAATATTGCTCATGATGGAATCTAACTCGAATACAATATTTAATTTTTTAACAATGCATAAATCAGCATTGAGGGAAAAAAATGGAATTAACTTAATTAGTATACTTCAGTTTTTTTACGAAGATTTCTGCTTCAATTTTGTCATAAAAATTGCGTTATCCCTAGTGAATTCAGAGATATATCCAAAAAATGAACTGTTCTAAAAAGAAATTGAATTAACCATTCCAACATTTCTCAGCAGAATTAATTAACTCCTAAACATTTACACTAAACAATCGGAATTATCGTATTTGTTTTCCTCCAGATTTGGTGAGTGGCTGAATCATCCCATATACTCAATAAATCTCTAAAAATATATCAGTGTATCTCAAACATTGGCAGGCCAAGAGTCCCCCATCGTGTACCTGAAGGACAATTATCCAGCAATTGTCTCAATCAATGAATAGTGTTACGACTAGTGACTCTAGTTTCACTGTACCCCAGTGTAATCCTCCCACAATCGACACTACGACAGCATTGTATCAAATACAATAAAATAAAAATAATAATCGATATAATTTGCTCCATGTAGAGTACGTGATTCCAAGCAAACATAATGTTTGTTTAATCGTGAATGAAATTACACAAACACTGTAGCATGCACATGGTAAAATAAGTGTTGAATTTCATTGATTTCATTTAGTTGTTATCTTCTCGCATTCATACGCTCATTGAATTTATCTAAATTTCATAAACGGCATACAACTCAAGTAAAATCTACCATTGATTATTGAATTATTTCAATTGACGAATTTGATCGATGGAACAAACTAAAACGAAATTAATGAATCACGGAGATCGCGATCAAAATCGATGACGTCTCACCTTGGATTTGATCTGGCCCCTGCCTCATAGTCTGAGACACGCTGATATATAAAGTTTGATGATCTAAATTTGCTGAAAAATGAGAAAGATAATTCAAAATTGAAAAAAAAAAGCCCGAGATAGCGTTGACGTTTCTCAAGTTCAATTACCTCGATTCCATTCTGTCTGTTTTAATTTCGTTTTTTTTTCTTCTGTATCTTTAATAAAGAAAATTAATGATTGAGTTAAAGTAATTCGTCTACCACGTCACCAAATCCTAACGAAAAACATTAACGAACATCTATGGGAACGTCGAGGTCTTGCCTAGTTATTAAAAAATGGTAAATAATGACTTTGAAACGAGTTGATGTTAAACCACAGACAGGATGGCAAATGGAATGGGTGCGGGGCTGGGTTTTGACAGAGAGAAAAAGAGAGAGAGCAAAGAGATAGAGCAAAAAACCCATAATGTGATACTTGAGTTATTGCGTTGAATGGAGAATATTATTGCATTGGAAGTAAAATGCAAGGAGAGAAATATGTTGAGCGAATAGCAATGGCATTTGTTTTGCTTACCCCCCGACTGTCTGGAGCTTCGTGGACTCGAGTTGACGAGCTGCTTCTTCTGTTCTTTTCAGCAGAAGTACCTGGGAACATTGATTTATACATAATTCATAGTGGCAATCACCTTTTTCAACATTTTAAATTGTCACATTTGGTTGATTATTGAATTATATTTAATTAACTGTTCTGGGAGGCATTTTAGGAGATGTTTTTTGTTGAGAATTTTGTCAACTGCAAAAAGAGTACCTCAATATTATTTTAAAATCACTTTTAATCGAGATAATAGAGAAATTAATGAATGACGAAATGAATGATAAAATGGCTCAAAATAAAAAATCCTCAAAAATTTCTCAATGAGGGGATTATTATCATCGAAAGGGGATAATTACCTTCTGCGAAAGATTTCGGAAGTGCATTTCTTGTATCATACTACTGTTCCTGCGGAGGTTCTCATTCCGTGAAATAGCCAGGAGTATTCCTCTGTCAGCTATGTATCGACAAACAGCTGCACCTATCGCTTTCTGGAATTTCTTGTGTACGTTATCCATTTTTGCGCTAAAAAAAATCAACAATTATTCAGATTCCCCCGAAAGATCCCCAACCGATGAATTCTACGAATGAGAAATGATGAAAAAAAAGAGGAGATCTTACAATTCTCTGAGCTCTTCAGGTACATCAATCTCGATCTTGTGAAACGTATTCTTATCAATCGGTGGATTTGTGTTTTTCATTCTGACACGTTCCACAGAGACGATTTCTGTGTAACTGTACTCCCAGCCGAGGTATTCAACAACTTGAAAGCCCCCTTTGATCATCTGAGGAGAATAAAACCCATGAAAAATGCAGATAATTCGTTGACAGTGCACTTGGCCCTTGAAATTAACATTTACCTTAATGATCGCTTTCCACCAACCACATGCCTCCTGATCATTGGCCCTCGAGTACACCTCGATCTCCTGATTCTCCTGGAATTCTGGCTTCGGGCCATCTTTCATTGGTAGACGTACTTGAGCAAATGGAAACTTTGATTCTGGCTGCCAGCTGCGATAGAAATCAAAATGTCGAGCTATTGTCAACAACTTTCCCCCGGGAATTCATCAATAACTGGGGGGAAAATACCTCCACAATGTCTCAAACGACGAATCATGGAGTTTACAGGTGCAAGGGAGTGCATATATACATGAACACGGAGGAGGAACAAAGGAATGCGACTCAACATTCTTTTGTTCGACCATCCCCGGGAGAAAATAAATCACCAAAATGGAAAACCTGGTGAATTCCAGATGATTTTAAAGACGAAGACACTGAATCAAGGGGAATACTCATTGTCAAGACATTCTCAGAGCTGTCTACATGTCTATTGATAATCACCCCTGATTGAATTTTAATAAAAAATCATAATACACTCACTCATTGTCGAAGGCCACCAACACTTCATCCTCGAAAACATCGGTGACGTAGGCCTGAAAAAACAGCAACAAAAATGCGTGAAAAATTGTCGAAATAATCGTCTGAATGCCATCAACATCTCGAGTCGAGGCGAAAATTGGTCGCCAAAATGATAAATTCACGTCAGAATAATCCCTCGGAAAAGTGCAATTCTGGGTGAATGACGATTGGGGCTGATGCCAATGGGGATGGGAGATTGGGCAAATGAACTCGGTGAAATAATAATTCGACAGAAAAATCACGCCCTGTCAAATGGGGAGGACATGGCGTCGTACAAGCCGCGCGTTGCTCGTTCCAGGATTCATGTAAAGCCATTGAAAAAGTCTGAAGTACAGGGGCTTAAAATCGAATAAAACAACAGCTGAATTCTCGAAAAACCGATGAATGTCGGGATCCACGAATTAACGTTATTTTACTTATACTTATCACAGGGCAAACCTTATAATACGCTCCGTTTTCGCCGCATACTTCGACTGCGAGATCCTCCATCTTGCTTATATGTGTGACGGGACTCACTACGATCTGCACGAGTTGGCATCCAGTACTCAATTCGTGTTTATCAACCAATTTGACGTTTTCATGGAGGGGAACGAGCGACAGCGGAACTAGTGGCGGGAAGTTGGGCTCGTTGAATTTGAATTTAGTGGGGCTGTTTTATTCATTTATTCATTTATTTTTGTGTTCAGGAGGGGAATTGCAGTGGCTCTACCCGTAGGAGGCTATTTATTTTCATTAAGGCCCGGATGGATCATCTTTCGAACGTTATCTCGATTGTTTTTACATCTTCATAATCTAAAATACATGACAATTTCCACTGGATTTTACGGCACGTGGGTGTCCCTAAAAATTATGATTGCATAATGAAAAAAAGGAGAAAACAAATTGAACATTTTCAAAGAGGATTTTAGATCGGGAAATGAGTCCGACAGGGGGGAAATTGCAAAGGGATGATAAAGGACGACTGAACAACCATTAGAAACTGTAAATTATTAATTTGCAATTTTAATCATAATTTTTGAAGACTCCAGGGCAATAAAAAGAAAATTAAAAAAATTATGGCTGCATTTCAATAAAAGAATAATAAAAGATTTTTTTCAATTTTAAACGTATAAGATGGAAAGCAATTTAAAAAATCGGCTAAAAATTGATTGAATTTAGCGTTCAGAAGATCCTCGTCATTTCTAAAATAACTGTGTGGGGGTCAAAATATGAAGATGAAAGGATACGAGACAATGTTTGAGGGTCAAAATTATTTGTCACCATATAAGAGTCAAAGTATGAGTTTCAAAATGTAAGGGTCAGAATATAAAGATGAAAATATACGGATGAGTATATAAGAGTCAATGTGTAAGGGCCAATTTTAAATTCCAAAATAAAAGGGTCAAAACATACTCGATCCTCGATTTTTTCCAGCGCGAACGCTCCCCCGCTGTCCCGCCTTTCCAGAAGATCGCAAATGTAAACTTCTCTAACCGTAACTCTTCGAAAAACTGGTCCCACGACACGAAGAGAAATATTCAATAAAAATGACGTATCTTTTCCGTAATTCCGGAGCGAAATGCTTCTAGAAAATTGTACGGAATTGTCACGGAGTTTTTCCGGAGCGTTTCGCAATAATTTTTATCTGAATCTGCTGTGGAAAATTACGATACCATCACTTAAATTTTCAGAGTCGATTCCATAATCGGTGAGCGAGTTGAACATTTGGAAACACAGTCGCATTCGCCGAATCTACGGTACCGAGAGTCTACCGTATTTTCCGCATTACGAGTCTCAATTAGGCTTCATTGAATCCCTTTTCCGAGAGAACCGACGAACCCCGCGGACCGGTGAAAGTGGCGGACGCTGCGGTCTCCGGTCCGCACCTGACGTGTCCCACGTCGCGTCCTGCAGCTCGCAATTGCGCCGTCAAAGCCAAATGTTGCGTTTCCCCCGGGGTATAATGACCGCGAGCTGGGGAAATAGTGTCGTCGAAACGCCTCGTCGCCATGGTTTCTCTATTTACCCCTTTCGAATGATTGACACTCGCCGATGCGTGACCCCTGCGCCTTCTTCATCATCCGCGGCGTCTGGAGGACCGCGTACTATGCAATCGGACTGTCACCGCCAGCTGTCCCGCGACATTGTCCGATAATTGCACCTTTTGTTCCTCGCCGTGGCGACTTCCTAAGAATCCCCGAAGTATGCAATTGACGGTGTCAACGCCAGATGCTCCGTTCCGCTGAGTCAGAGGTGCCGCGTCGTCGACGGGGGTCTCCGCGGACTCGAGGGGACGCGGCTTCTTACACTCGCGAGGACAACCGCAACGGACAGAGGGCGAAGAAACGAACGCACGATGGACTTCTGGGACCAAATATACTTCAAACCTATGAAGATCGTGTCCTGCTTGGCTGGACAATGGCCCTACCAATCGCCGATGGAGCGAACCATCATCAGGTCTCTGTTGGTTGCTGCTGTCGGCAGCCAAATAATATCTCAGGTAGAGCCTTGAGAGCAATTAAGGAGCGAAGTGGTAAAACGGTTTGAAGTTGCTCTACCCTTCCGGTAAATTCAAAGATTATTGAAAATGACAAAAAACTTCCAGAAAACTCGAAAAAATGCGACGTTATTATCGTACGACGAAATTATCGTTTTGGTTTTTCAACACGGAGAGAAATATTCAATAAAAATTACGTATCTTTTCCGTAATTCCGGAGCGAAATGTGGTTGTAGGAAATTTTACGGAACCGTCACGGAATTTATCCGGAGCGTTCCGTAATTTTTATCTGAATCTCTTGTGAAAAATTACGATACCGTCACTTAAATTTTCTGAGTCGATTCCGTAATCGGTGAGTGAAGTGAGAGTTCCATAATTTTTTCTGAACATTTCTCTCCGTGAACGAAGAAATGTTTAAGAATCAGGCTTTAACTCAGTGTCTTATGTGAAAATCAACACTTCCATTGTAATCAAAGTTTAAAATCTGAATTTTTTTTTCATCAGATGTGAAAAAATCGAGAAATTTTTTGACACCACAGAAAAAATTATCCACGGTTTTGCAAACAAGTTCTGTTATTCATTTGAAAGAACGGAATGTTTGAAAAAATATCAATACTTCGCGAAATTTAATTTAGATAACATTGACTGGGTATGAATTTTTTCAACATTTTCCCATGCAATTTAATTGAAAAATTCAAAAAGTGCGATGTAGCCCGGGCGAAAGGTACAGCTACTTTAAGTCGACTTATCTCGCAGTTGAGTTTTTGAGGAATATTTCCGAATCTATGGGAGATAGCAAAATTTTCGTGACTACATTTGTTGTAGCTCTCAATCGGTTCTACAAAAAATGTTATAACGAAAATTTTGCTATCTCCTTTAGATTTCGGGATATTCATCGAAAACTGGTTAATAGGCAAAATTGGCTTTTACCATTTTACCACTTCGCTACTGAATTGTTCTCCCATTTCGCTGTCTCTTTCTCTCGCGTCTTTTATTCAGGGGAAAAGTCGTTAATTGCATCCGACATTTGTTGTTCATTCCTCTGGAAAACCCTCGGCTTTAGGAAGAAATGAAGAAATCCTCGGGAAAGAGTTCAATGATATTTCTTCATAAACCATTTTCACTGACATAATTCGATATCAGTTATTCTAAATCCAGTAGTTATCAAATCCATTGATAAGTTCTTCACAGAATGTGAACTGAAGATATAATTGGGCTTACGAATTTGCAATTTATATATTTTATGCACCTCATATACCTTGTAAATACCATTTAGCAGCTGATAGCCCTCGTATTGACATCTCTAATGGTTAAATTAAACAAAAATCGATATTAAACGAGAGGATGCACCGAAGTTTTCCGTTTTATCACTTTAGCACTCGTTTTTAGATTGCAGCAGTTGCCGAACACTCGAACGATCTCGACTTCTTCATGGAGCTAGTCCCTCCCTTTGTTGTTGAACTCACATGCTTCACGAAGATGATCAATTGCTTTTTTTTCTTGGGTAAGGTGAGTAATTACTTCCGATTCTTTCGCCTTCTGTTGAAATTTTTCCCAAAATTCCATCAGTTTTTCACCGATTTCCATTCATGATGCTCATTTTCCACCTAATTATTATTATATTGTTTACATAATAGTAACAAATGGGTTTGTGTATTGTCTAATGATACTAATTTTTTAGATAAAAATTCTATTGGAGCAACTGCAAGAGAATTGGAAGTTTTTTCCAAGCGGTCGTGAGAATGAGTTGCTTCGCGAGCATTCTCTATTTGGATTTCAAATGTCGGTGTTGTTTATAGGTGAATAAATATATTCTGATGGAATATCTTCAGTATTGGAGTGGATGTGATTTATGATTGATCGCATTTTTCACAGGAACTTTATACATATCTGGATTTGTTTTTGGGACGCAGCCCTTTCAAGCCATTATTTTACACTTTGTTCTCAATTCGAATGGTAGTGTGCCACATCAGTTTCTTTTTCCAGCTAATTGGGGGCCCATTGATGCTGATAAATACTACTTTCCACTCATTTCATTGTCCGCTTTATCTATTTACTGTGTAGTTACAATGCTCGTTGCCATTGACTGTGTCTTCTACACATGCTGCGGGCATGTTTGTGGATTATTCGCCGCATTAGGGTAATTATGTCTGGCGATGTGACGAATTAAAATTCAGTAGCGAAGTGGTAAAAGGAGATAAGTCAATTTTGACTATTGGCCAGTTTTCAATCAATATCTCGGAATCTAAGGGACATGGCAAAATTTTTGTTATAACCTTTTTTGCGGAGCCGATTGAGTGCTACAACAAATGTGATTAGGAAAATTTCGCTATCTCCCTTAGATTCGGAAATATTCCGCAAAAACTCAACTGGGAGATGAGTCGACTTATCTCAGTTTACCACTTCACTACTGAATTGCAGAACAAGTGTTCTTATTTTTGTTTGGAAGGCATTCAATAGAGCATTTCAATTTCAATAATGATCCGCAATTGGGAGACGATGGATTCGCATTTCTTCGGCGATGCATTCAGATACATAATAGGGTATTAGAGTGAGTAAGCATGAAACTTAATGTTATAAGTTCATCCGTTGAAAAATCTTTCTGATGATAATTAACGTGACGAAGTGAAATTAAATGAATAGCTTGGGAGGAACTTTCAAGAGTAAAGATATTGAATTCAATATAAGCAGAAAAAATCGTGAAATTTCTAGTTTCATTGGAAGTTCAAGAATATTCACATATTCACTCGGATTTTCCAAATTTCTATTAACTTTTAGAAAATAATTCAATTGAAATTTAGTTTCCATCGATATTTTCATAAAATTGTCTCATAAAATATGTCATTTTTAATTTTAATAATTGAGTTAACTGAACTTTGTATTTTTCTCACAGATTCATAAGTGTAATGGAGGATGTTTTGACGGTCAACTTCTTGATAATGCTCGGATCTGTTACGATGGCGATGAGCTTAACCGCCGTGCAGGTGAAAAAGAATCAACACTGGAAAATAAAATCAACGTTACTCGATTAACTGTCAATTATTCATAACAGATGGTAATTAATTTCGACGCCGTAGTGAAACTCTTGAAGAACCTGGCATTCGCTATCACTCAAGTTACCCAGCTTGCCATCAAATGCTGGATGGCTCAGCGGGTCATGGATATGAGTCTCAATATCAAATTCAGCCTGTAATAAAAACTCATTCGTTTGTATTACTTTGAAATAAAAAAAAAATTACATAAAAACCTAGCGAATTCACTGGGAAATTCTGTCGGATTTCTATTGCACCTTCCCCCAGTTTTTGGCCGGTTCTATTGAAAATTTTTCTATTCTACAGAAAAACTCAATAGAATTTGATTTTTTATACAAATTATTCTTCGAGAATTTCTGTAGAAATTCTTCGGCTTAAATTTTCCAAATTGTTTTGTTTAATATTTTTCAATAATCAAAAAGGAAAATATAGTGAAAATACTGAGAAAATTCATGTCGCAGAATTTCTGTAGAAAAGTCTCAATTGAAGAAGTTGAATAGAAATCCAATAGAATTTTCTATCGAAATCGCTAGGTTCCCTGTGAAATCCTTTCGCGTGAATTCGTGACACTACATTCATTTTTTCCAGTATTAACTCGAAATGGTACCTCGCCTCTCCGAAAACCCAGAAATTAATAGGATTGATGATTATGAGAAGTGAAATTCCGTGCGAGATTACAGCTGGCAAAGTCATCGTTATGTGTTTGGAAACTTTTTCATCGGTAAGATGTTAAAAAGGCTTCAAGCCCTGATGAAGTGGGTGGGCCTCATCCTGGGCCAACGCCTAAGAAATTCCATACAAAAACCTTTTCAGACGTATGGCCCTAAGTGCAATCAGACCAAATTATTCTAAAAAATATTGTATAACATATAATTGCAGACTGTAAGGCTCTCCGCATCGTATTTTACAATGTTCCTGGCTCTGCGATAAACATTGAACTCAAAGAAGAACGTTTGATAGTACAGGGGGATTCCCCTTAGTTTTCTGCTCACGAGCTCCACAAATCGATTTTCTATCGACGAAAAATCGCAGGAGTCACTCCTTGGGGTGCTCATCACTAAAATATATTCATTTCCTGACGGAAATTTTTGTTTTTGTGTTTAGGGGAGGGTGGGATAATAAACGACTTTTTAAAAATTATTCATAACTCAGAAACAAATTGATCAATTGAGCTCAGTTGAGGCTCGTCACAGAGGGAAAGAATTGTTCTTTGCATTGAAAAAAAAAGATTAAATTTCATCAACATTTCAACCCCTCATTAACATTAAAAAAAAAGTTAAAAGAGTCCGATTTACCCAACCTCCCCTATATTAATTTTGGTCATTTGTTTTTGAGATGAACAATAAAATAGACATTAAATATTAATTAATGATCAATATTTCAAATAGTTGTGACTGAAAAATGAATTGTTCAGGTCCCAAACTTGAGATTGGGAGATGGAAAAAAATTCATGCAAATTCCTTATTGTAGCCGACCGATATTAATTCTTCAATCAATGCACCTATTGAATCGATTGCTGACGGTTTGCCGATGATCGAAGTGCATTTAATAACGTTTGATAATAATTTCTTGAATTATAAAAAATTAATCAAGTTTCGCCCATGTGTTTAGCCTTCAGCCGACAAACATGAAAAAGAAATATTTTTCCAATTTTTTTTTTGAATCGAAGCGAAATCGTTTGTAGTTTTCAAATCAATAACTATCAATGATTGATGACGCATTTCATCAGTATCAATCATTTACGGTTCAGCTGGCTCACCCATTCTCATCATGTGCCATCACTCTATAAGGTAGTTCCCCTAATTATCCAGTGCGTCCCAGCGGTGCCGACGGTCCATTGGTGGGTGTAGCACACGGTCTTGTGGTGTAATAACTCCCGACACGAACTATTGTCAAAATGTACACTACACGCTGAGAACAGGTTTTGGTGCTCACCGCTGCTCCGTTTTTGACATGTTTTCGGCTGTTTTATAACCTGGATGCGGTGTCTCAATAGTTGATCGGCGACGGGCATAATCTCAAGGTCGCTGTCTCTTCGCAAAAGAGAAGCACAGTATTCTCGACGCCGAGAGGGTCTGCGAATTGTGTGGCTATTCCCCAGGAACATCTGTCACCCACACTTCGAGGATGGCAAATTAGTGGAGGAATAACTGTTAATCTCAGGAGGTGAGGCCTTTGTTTATTCCTTCGCCACTCACAGTCGATTGATAAATTTATTTCGGCGACTTTTGTCACGTGTTTTGCTCAAATAGGGGAGGTTGGGGTAAAACGGACACTTTTGACTTTTTTTTAAATGTTAATGAGGGGTTGAAATGTTGATAAAATTTGATAATTTTTTTTTTCAGTACAAAGAACAATTCTTTTCCTTTCTGACGAGCCTAAACTGAGCTCAATTGATCAATTTGTTTCTGAGTTATGAATAATTTTAAAAAAGTCTAAAGTGTCCGTTTTACCCCACCCTCCCCTAGTCGTCTTCACTTGTGAAATTATTGCTGAATTGTTGTTATGAAAATAGGATGGAGTCAATGACTTTCCTTAATACTTGAATTTTTGATAAATTTGTTTCGAAAGTTTTTTTCCGTCAAGAATATCTCAAGAATATAAGTGAAAGGATTCAGTTTAATAATAATAAAGTTCATTATGAAATTTAAATTATTACTCCATTCGTTACTTATTATATTTATTACTCCATTCGTGTGAAATTACTGCTGAATTGTTGTTGACTGTTTTCGTAAATTTACGTCAAACGTGAATGGAGTTGACCCCAGCTGATCTCTCACTCCATTCCCAAATTGATGAGTTTATTCAATTGATTTCCCTCTTCAAGAAACAGTCTTGCCCTTAAATTCTGAATGGAATTTCATAATCTATTTTTTTCCATGATTACGACATTATTTTCTTTATTATGAACTTATCAGCCCATTTGTGGAATTATTATAATATTCTAGCTTTACTGCGGATTGTTTTGCTGAAAATGTCTAATGGAAACTATTTCATAGAAAAATCAGGAGAATTTCGTCTTTCTTAACAACTTTGTCTGTCGTAAAACATTTTCTACATTCTTTGACTTGAAATTTTCAAGTTTTTTGTTTCATTCTTTTCAATGGAAGGAAGACGAATAGAGCGAAAACAGCTAGAATCTTTGAAAAAGCTCATCTCAAAAGAATGAGAAATACATAAAAATCAAATTCTACTTTAAAAAATGGTTTTTAATCGCTGAATAAACTCTTATTCAACAGAGATGAGCGGCTCCCGTCTCGGTAGGGGTCGTGGAGGGCGCCTGGCCATTTACGGTGGATGTCTAGTGGTGATGGTATTAATTGTATTTCTTTATCGAGCTGCGACAACGGAAATGACGAGATTACGAGACTTACACGTTCAATGTGCCCATCAGCAAGAAGCATTGGCAGCACAGCTCCAAGGTATCCACTTCATTTTGCATCACACAATTCAAACAGCGACTCCTGCTTATTAATAATTATCTTGGTGGAAAATTTAGTTCGCCAACACGACGAGGAAAGTCCCATCATTCGTCAAATATTAACTTTTACTTTACTAGCAGGAGTAGTATTTATACTCTACATAAAAACTTCTAGTCCCGGTTGCACCAAGTCCTGATATCCAAGTAAACCATAGCGTAAAATATGTCCTCGGCGTCAATTACACCCTGGGGGCCATAATTTATCAATATCTAACCCGAAGAGTAATTTTTTATTTATCCTGTAGCCCCTTTTGAATTAACACTGATTTAACCTTGAGATTAAATATTATTTTTCGTTCCTAGGATAAATTTGAGATACTCTCCCGGGTAAAATAATCCATCGAACATCCAGTTTTACTTTTTTTCTTATCTGACGATTTCGTTACCTGGAACTGGTGCAATCGGTGCGGACAGAAAAAATCCCCACGTTTGTTTCGAGATATTCTGCTAAAATTCTTTGTTCTCAAGTTAAATTGACTCATCAGAGCTGCAGCAAAGTGCCACTAGAGAAAAATCCTTGAGAGATAAGACAGTATTGAGGCTTTTTACAAACATTTAGTTCACTCACATGAGTAAAGTCTCATCCTTCTTCAAAAATTAAAATATTTTTGTCGAAATGTTGACTTCACTAGCAGGAGTAGTATTTTTATTCGACATTTGCATTTTTCTATAGGAAAAGTCTCCTTCCTTTCCCCTCTGAGTTAAATTGGCCCATCCCCTTTTACCTCTGAGTTAAATTGACTCACCCCCTTTTATTGAATCGAATTATAATGTGTCACGTTGAATTCTGTTCTTGCAGTAATTTTTGAATACAAAGTTCGTTTGGAGAAGTCCCTCGCGGAGGAGAAAAACTCGAATGCCTTAGCTAAACAAGAGCTCCAGCAACGTGCCACTAGGGAAAAATCCCTGCGAGATAAGGACAGTGTTGAGGCTCTGCAGAGGTTCAACTCTCTCCAGCAGCAGCACAAACTGCTGCAGTCCGAGCAGCAGGACTTGAAGGACGAGTGCGCCAAGAGGGAAAAGCTGGCGTTGGAGAATGCCAAACAGCTGGAGTCCACGCTGCAGGACCTTCGCAGCCAAATTCGAGTGAAAAATAAGGACAATGGGGATAAGGAGAAGTTGATTGAGAGCCTGAAGAATAAATATTTCAAGCTCGACACTGAGAGGAAAGAAATTGAGAACAAATACAACGAGCTGATTAAAAATGATAACGACAGAGATAAAACTATTGCTCATCTCAATAAAGAGGTCTTTCAGCTCAAGCGAGAATTGGATGGAATAAAGGTGATTATTCTCTACATAATTATTAAAACATTGAATGAAAATCCTTGAGGAAATCGTCATCAATTGACTTTCATCGATGAAATATCGATTAAAAATTGTAGAGAAAAATTGTATAATTTTTTCTGTTGAATTTTTTCACAATTAATAATTTTTCAGTTATTGAGTGGACTATTTTTTCTGATAAATTTAATGTTATTCCAGCCATCTTGCAAAACAACATCTTCAGACCCTAGTTTATTATATCCACGTGCGTATCAATTGAACATGCAACAAAGTGTAGCACCCAAAATAGCCTCGTCTCGGTCGCAGGTGAGTTATCCAAGTAAAAAAAATGACAATCCAATTCCCATCCAGGCACCAAGACAGGACAGATCTAATGATCAGCCTCAGGGAGACAATCTTCTTGATAATGTTGAGTCTGATCAAGGTGATAAACCGATCGATGAACGAGGTGCAATGCACCATGACTTACCATTGCCGTACAATAATGTACAGATTAACAAGCCAGGGCCTGATGATGTTGGGAATTTTAATGAGAAGCAGGAGAAGTCTGTTCTGCCCATGCCAAATGCGGATGAAAAATAAAATTTCTGGAATTTGATGAACTTCTCAGTTGTTGATAAATTTCATGGGTTGTGGGTCCAGCTTCACTGATTATTGTACTTATTTCAAGGGACTACGTCTTTGTTTTTTATTTTTCTACTGTTAATTTTAAGAGAAGAATTTATGTTCATCTGTACTTTTGTTAGTAATTGATCCATCAAGTCTTTTTCAATGTCAGGGGTAATATTGTTCTGAAAAATGTGCCTATGCTTAGTCCATGTTATCTGGAGAATTTTAATAAAATTTTTATTATTTCTTAATGCTTGAGTTCTTGTTTTTTTTCAACTGTTTCTTTGTGCTTTTTTTGGGCTCCTGTTGTTCACTGCAGTTGGGGTTTGCATGCTACTTCTTGATGTTGGGGGTGACAATGGGTGTGAGAAAAAATTCGGAATTGAGAAATTCAGAAATTAAAGAATAATCAATTAATTAAAAAACGATAAATTGTGATGAATTATTGAATTTTATCGGATTTAATTTTATAATGAGAAATAAAAGAGAAATTATTCTCAAGATCATAATTTATGCAAAAAAATAAAAATTCATCTCTTTTCTGTAAAAAATTCTGTACTGAAAATCGTGAGGCAAAGCAAAATAATTTTTACTAGAATTTCTTGCTGAATGAAATTTCATTTCAGTTCCATCCCTGAACTGAAAAAATTTTTGAAAGCGTTTTTTATTCCGCTAATAAATAAAAAATGAACGAATTCATTCGAAAATGTATTCGAAATTCTTCGTATTAAAAAAAAACGATGCAACGACCCAATGACTCTCTCCAATCCCTAAAATTGTTCCAAGATCCTCAAGTATTCTCACACCTAGCAATTGCTTAATTTTCCAGGATAGTTCGACAACGAGTCTATCAAAGCAAAGCATAGAAAGTTCAACCAGATCGATAAAAAAATTCGAGCCATCGTCAACGGAAAGACCCCAACTAGTTAATTTCCCCGCTGCCCCAATGAAACAAGTGTCGCGACTTAAATTGCCCATGGGTGTAGTCCCCATTCCCAAAATGCTGGAGGAGAAGAGAACGAAACAGGAGAGACTGAGCTCAGCTGAGAATAAAAACCCCCAAGTTAACGAGCACGCGTCAAAACTGGAGAATACCGACGACAAATTGCGGAAGCAAAAAGCCCAGAAACTCTTGGATAACAATTTGCATGACGAAGTGGGACGGAATGATGATGGGCACGCTGGTGAGCAGCACGATTTCAACCAGAAAGATAATGCGCCGTGGGTGCTGCGGGTGAAGCCGGGCTTCCAGGAAATTGGCGAGCTAAATCGTGACGAGAAAATTTCTGAGTGAGTTTTCGCACTTGACTCATGTCAGTTACAGTGCGAATATCTCGTTATGTTGATTTGTCCGCTTTGCATGCAACATTTTATCAGACTCGGGGTATTTATATTCGTTTTTTGAATGGTAGGTTGGACGACGGACGACTTCAAGATGTTGAAGAGCAGGATGATGATTATCGAGAGCCACCGCTGGGGGAGGAAGAGCAGGGTAACAATTTTTTAATTGTATTGGGACAAAATTATATTTGCTTCAGACACGAAAAAATTAATAGAATTCGATTTTTCTATTCAAATTATTCTATTGAGATATTTTCTAGTGAACATTTCAATAGAATCAGCCAAAAACTAAAAGTTTAATAGAAATGCAATAGAATTTTCTTGTGAATTCGCTATAATTTCATTATTTCATAATTTAATAATAATAATGATAATAATAACAATAATAATAATAATTTAACTTTATGGGGAATACTATAGCCGTAATTATAGCTATAAATATGCAAAAATATTAACGAAAATATTCTAAAGAAAGAAAAACAAAAAATTAATGTAAATTACATTCCATTTAAATTGAAAATTTGAAGTTTGTCAATGAATTTTGATAATTTCAATCATTTACACATTTACGTTGATGTGCATTTCATTTACGTCCGAAGTTTTCTATAGAAGAAATCAAATGTAGAAATTTCCAGCAAATTTTTCATATTTATTGTATTCTGGTGATAATAATTTATTTATTAACTGTTGATTATTGAACTGAACTCGTTATTTTTCTTTCAGATGAGGACGATCAAATAGAGGACGATCAGATAAAGTAATTAATAGCGTAGAATTCATCATTGGCTCTCCAAAATTGTGACACAGTCAATGTAAATCTCGAACTATCACACATTCATAAATCGTATTTTTCCATAGACCTGGGGACGACTGACAAACTGTTTGCGAGGGAACCGAGTGACACTTAGACATGTCCCAATAATGTATTTCTGTTGAAGGAAGTGCTGGTGGGATTCCCTTATTTTCATTGCCATTATCATGATTTCAGGTGGAGAAGAATTCCCGGGTGAACAATTGCAAGACTGTTCTAATATTTCGAATTATCTGTACAAAACATTCGGTTCTGTTTCAACGTCGATTGCGTAATTGTATGCGTTATGGATGGAGTAATGCGCGTAATTAATTCACTCTAGATTAAACGGACTTATTAATCTCGAGGTTTATATGTTTTTAACAGTAAAATAGCGAAATGTAAATAAATGACACTGGAGTTTTAATAAATGAGGTTGTTGGTGGCTAGTTCGTGATTTATTCATTCCTAAAATTTAGGGAATTTAATCTCAAATGGAATTTATTTATTTTATTATTTATTATTATACATCAATCATTATTCTTTATTATTTATTCATTTTTCAATAGATTTTTTTTTCTGAAAAAAGTTCACGAATGTTTATTTTTATGTAGAAATGCTCGGGCATTAATTTTTTACGTTCGCCTTGAAATTTATAATTAGAAATGAAAAATAAAGTGGAAAGAATGTTTATATACTATAAAAATTTCTAAAAATTCGTCATTTTTTTCTAGTTTCATCGAAAATTTCCCAGCCTTTGCAAAAGTCAATAGATTTTTATTTTTATATATGATATGACTCATATAAGATGGTGAAGTATTTTATACAGAAAGCCTTGAGTATAAATCTTCACCTTTTCCCTCCGTATTTCATATTTTCCTCACGACAAAATCCAAGGAAAAATACTCGGGCAATTCATACTGAAGAATTCTAGAAAAAAATCTACACCTATTGACTTTTTCCTGTAAAATATTCTTTTCATCTCGAGGTTCATGTTTTTAACAGCAAAATAGCGAAATGTAAATGAATGACACTGGAGTTTTGATGAACGATGTTGTTGATCCAATTCGTAATGAATTCATTCCCATTTGGCTTTGATACAATTCAAATTAGGCCGGTTGAATGCCAATGATACGGAGCATTATGCACTCCGGAATAATTAAATTTTTTATTACCGCGATCGAGTGTGGGCGTGCATAACAGGAGCACTGTGATCTTCTGTGCATACGATAAATCTTGAGTTTTCAATTAGCATTCCCACTGAACTTATTCTCACGTTACGTACTAATAAATCCAGGTATTTTTACCAGGTAAACCCAAGCTGAATTATCCCTCCCTCAATATTGAAAAAAGAGTCGAGTCGAGGAGAGAAACTGCGTGCAGTTCAAATGTGTGGGTGAAGACTTGTCCTTGGATTGAATATAGATGCACAGTCGCATGGAAGTGAATATCAATAGGATTTTTTGTTACGAATTCTCGGATATTAAATTTTTGTTAGGAAGAGTACGCGAAAAAATTGAAAAGAAGAATTTTGCCAATTTGAGAAAAAATTCTATAGGATTTTCTACTGAACTTCTGTTAAAATTTTTATTATTAATAGAAGTATTCATTCATTTATTAATTTATTTATTTATTTATCATGCTATAGACCCTATAGCCGAGTATAAGTATTAAGATAATAAATTATTTCATAAGTATAAGAATTTCTTCTTTTGTACATTCAGTTGACAACGTACATTTGGCCACACAGGGGTAGAAAAAAAACAATAATAATCACACATTAGAATTGCAATACTTTATGAAGGTCCTGCTGTTGTTGAGTGAGAGTTTCTCCAATTTCTTCGCAAAGAGACAAATTTCTTGTAATGGCTGGGATTAATATTAATATTAGAATTAATATTAACATTAATATTAATTAATATTAGAATTAATATTAACATTAATAGAAGTATTATTCATCTCGCAAAAACTGTCCAGTAGAAAGAATTATATCGTTCGTGATTTATCTCATTTAATTCAACCACTTCATCACAGAATTCCTCTGATATTAAATAACCCAGAGGTCTAGATGTCTGGCGTAAACAAATGCGAGAATCATTGACTCAACTACGCAATTGTGGATATTCCCGCCGATAAACCCGACATGACCCCAAACAGACCCAAATCCTTATCGCATGATTACTAGCTCCACGATTTCATCGAAATTTGTAATCTGCTTAAAGTTCCACACATACGTATTTCGAAATTTTCCACGTGCTCACCGGTTTATTCGGTTTGCTCCTATTCTTCACATGCGCGAGGATAATTCTGGGAATTTAAATAATGTTAATGTTTACGTCGCCCCTCTGACCTTTCCTGATACGAGAGAACCATTGATGCCGCCAATTGGTGATGATCTAGCCAATTATCCCCTTTTCTCCTTCCTCTCCTCTGCTATTGGGATGGCTTATTATCATCAGTCAAGTTAGTGTGTATTGAAAAATTGCCTGGCCTTTACGTGTTTGCAGCCTTCTCCCTCTTCTCCACGATTGACAATGATCTCAACAGCTCTGGCTCTTCGGAGCTCTTGCAGTTTGTTTTCTGGACGTCTCCAAGTGAGTAGTACCGAGTGGTCGTGATTTTACGTATGAAAAAAATTAATTGAAAAATTCAGCGCTTTTTCGGAAATTTGGGGGAATTTTTATTTCAATTCCATTGAGGATTCGTTTCATTTTTTCCGCAAAATTTTCAACAGAAAAAAATACGATGGGTTTTCAGATTCTATATCAATTATTCTCTTGAAATATTTCATTTGAATTTTTTAATTTTTTGCGTTACATTTCTTCTTATTTCTCATCATAAAATCCGAGAAAAGAAAATTTTAAAATTTACTACAGAATAAATTGTGCAGGGAAATCAGTGCCTGTTGACTTTTTTCCATCGTAAAATGTATAGTGGTAACGCACAGCGAAGTTACATAATTCTCAATAGAAATTAGTGCGAAAAAGGAATAGAATTTTGATGGAATTCTAATAGAACTTCAATACGACTTTTTCATATGCGTGTTATACCGTCGTCTGTAATTATTTCACTCTCGTTTGATTTCCATTTCTTTTTGATATTTCTATTCAGATTTGTTCGTTGATATCGGAATCTCATGATGAGAGTATTTTTGTTAACGCTGTTTGCGTTTAGCGTCGGCATTTGCGCGGCTGTTGATCCTCATGAGCACAACAAAATCGTCTGCTACTGGAACTCTACGTCCTTCAATCGTCCTGGTAAATATTCAGAATATTTCACGCAGGATGAACAAATTTAATAGAACAATCGAGTAAATTTGCTAAACAATTTTATTGAATTTCTATTCAATTATTCTGTGCAACTTATTTTATTGAGATATTTTCTATCAAATTTTTTAGGTTTTTTATTTAATTTCTTGATGAAAAGAAAACGAAAATAGAGTGAAAAAAACTTGGAAAATTTGAGCCGAGAAAATTCTGCACAAAATATCTTGATAGAATAAATTACACAGAAAAATCGAATTCTATCAACTTTTTCTGTAGAATATTTTTTATTCGACATTTCAACAGAATCGGCCAAACTAATAGAAAGTTCAATAGAAATCCAATAGAATTGTCTAGTGAAATTGCTAGGTCTTCCTGTTAAATATTGTCGCGTGTTTCAATTGAATGACCGGCGATTATGGAATTTCAAATATTTTTATTACAGCTGCAGGAAAATTCAATATTCAGGACTTGCAGCCGGCTCTCGGGCTCTGCACACACCTCATTTACGGATTCGCAGGAATCAATAATGAAAATTTCGAGGCAGTTCCGTTACATCCAGACCTCGATACCGGCGCTGGTTACGGATTTTATAAACTCGTCACTCAGACGAAGAGAGTCTTCCCCGATTTGAAGGTTTATCTCAGTGTCGGGGGTAATGCCGATCCTTATGAAGATACTCACAAATATTTGACCTTGGTGAGTGTTCTGGACCGTAAAAAAATGTTGAAAAAATTTAGAAATAAAAAAACTAGGGGTTTATCGGGAAAATTTAACTGCATTTAATTTTTAAGGGAAATGATGTTGCTTTTCAGTTTGTTTTTCAATAGATTTTTTTTTTCTGAAAAAGTTTAAAGATGTTGATTTTTCCATAGCAATACTCGGGCATTATTTTTCTAATTATTTTCTCTAAATTTTGTAATAGGAAATAAAAAAAAATAGTGAAAAGAACGTGGAATTGAAGTTCTACAGAAAAAAAATCTACGTCTATTGACTTTTTTCTGTCAAATATTCTACCAAACTTGCACAGCAAAATTATCCATAAACTTCAATAGAATTCCTATGAAAAGGTAATTGAATTTCGTAACGAATGCATTATATGATAATAATCCATGAATATTAATGCATCGACTATTAGATTGAGACCCCCGAGGCCAGAACCAAGTTCATCAACTCAGTAGTCCGTCTTCTGAACGAATACGACTTCGACGGAGTCGATCTCGCCTGGCAATTTCCCCCAGTCAAAGTACAGAAGAAGCGCGGAACATTCGGCTCAATCTGGCATGGAATCAAGAAGACCTTTGGGTACGGCAAATTCAAGGACGAGAAGGAGGAGGAGCACAGGGATGGGTTCACAAACTTGGTCCGTGACCTGAAAGCCCAACTGAGACCCAGGAATAAGGCACTCACGCTCACTGTCTTGCCGCACGTCAACACCAGCGGTAAGTCGACTTGACATTCTGAAGGAAAAACACATCGTCAAATACTGAGATGGGATTTGCCACTTTTTTTGCATGACGAATCTTCAACCTTCAGTGTACTACGATGCAAGATTATTGACACCGAATATCGAGGCCGTTCACTTGATGGCCTTTGATCAGCGAACGCCTGAGAGAACTCCCAAGGAGGCTGATTATCCAGCGCCTGTTTATGAGAGCTATGGGAGGATTCCTCAGGATAACATCGACGCTAATGTTCGGTACGAATTTCCAATTGAATGCACATGAAAAAAATTGTACAGAAAATTTCATTCAATTTCTGTTGAACTTTGGATTAATTTTCGAAATTTTCAAGAGAAAATACTCTGTAGTTTCTTCGTACAATTCAATTTTTCTGCACAACCTATTCTATTGAGATATTTTCTGTACAATCTCCTCGGCTCAAATTTTCTGAGTTTTTTACTTGACTTTTTTAATGAAAAAAAAGAAAAAAAGAATGAAAAAAATTTGGGAAATTTGAGCCGAGGAAATTTTGTAGAAAATGTCTCAATAGAATAAGTTGTATAGAAAAATCTCATTCTGTTGACTCTTGAGAAATTTTCCTTGAATTTTACAATTCAATTCCCAGGAGCAGTATTAGATGCGTATTTTTTTTCCTTTTGAAACAACGATAAAGGAAAATTTCCAAATGGTTCGAGGCGTCTGCATTATGACATCATTCCCATTTTGCATATCATGCATTATTGTTTTTCCCAGGTTCTCATTCCTCATTATTCATTTATATTAAAAGTCCTCAGTAGACATAATTTTCAAAAATGTTTCGAAAATATAATGCAGGTAGTTACGAACGCCGCCATCTTGCACACCCCCTCTCTCCGCAATGGGCTTTAAAGATGGCGGCGCCTCCACCTCGCATTTTTAAACGTTTCTAAAAACTATTTATCTTCCCCAGATGACCCTCAACTCTCTTCGTCGAGTGACTATAAAAAGAACAATTTTTTAAAGCCGTCTTTCAGCCTTTCCCGTCCCCCATTGGCTGAGAATTTATGGCGGAAGTTTTTTCCCGCCTTTGAGTCGTTTTTTACACCCGAGGCGTCCCAAAAAAAACGTATTAAATTTTAAACTGCAGTAAAAAAAATCCATAAAACCTCAATGTCATTACTATGAAAAAAGATCTTCATCGCTTATTTTCCATTCCCAGTTACTGGCTGGAGCGCGGTACACTCGGTGGTAAAATCGTGGTAGGCATTCCGGCGTTCGCCCGCACCTGGAAATTAACCGAAGACAGTCAAATCTCTGGAGTCCCTCCAATTGTGACTGACGGTCCCGGGGCGGAGGGTCCCCACACGGCGACCCCAGGCCTCCTCTCGTACGCCGAGGTCTGCGCTCGCTTGACGGAGTCATCAGTGGGTCGTGTCAGACGCGTCAGCGATCCGTCAAAGAAGTACGGAAGCTATGCCTATCAGCCCTACAACTCAGACACCGGTGCCGAGGGCATTTGGATCGGCTACGAGGACCCTGACACAGCCGGTAACAAAGCCAGTTATGCCAAAGCAAAAGGTCTCGGTGGTGTCGCCATTTGGGACTTGTCTACTGACGATTTCCGTGGCACCTGCACCGGGGACAAATTCCCCATTGTCAAGGCGGCCAAATACAAACTGTAAACTACGTAATGCCAACATGATTGATATTATTCACATGTATTTGGTAATAAATTTCGAGTGTTGAGAGGAGTCAGCGGTTCAATGTCATTGTAAACATTCATGTCACGAAAATAACGTCGAGGGCAATCATGTATTTGAGTCAATGGGTCAGGCAATCAAGTGATAATTCATCGAATCATTTTGAAATGATTTCATATTGAAGTTGGTTTTTCATTTTAACAATGAGTTCAGTTACGAAAAATGACCAGGCGAGGTTCGAACCCACGACCTTGGCATTACCAACTCGCTCGTCTAACCAATTGAGCTGTGGGAAGTCACTACATCATTTTATATGATCATTCGAAATATTTTTGAATAATGAAATGGTTTATTTTTTAATCCGTTCAAACGAAACATCGAAAAGCTATTTTAAAATTTGAGGACTTAAATACTTCAGCGGAAGAACAGTGAAGCAGATCAAGGGCAACTCCCACGCGGGAATTTGAACTCACAACCTTCAGATTACAAACTACTCTAACTAATGAAGCTGTCGGGGTTCACATCGAATATTTTAAAACAGCTTCAGAAATACGAGTAAAGAAATAGTATTTAGTCGACTGAAAAATACAACGGAAAATAGCTCTTTCTATTGAGAAAACTGTAAATAAGCTGCGGATTTTCTCAACAGAATCGGCCAACAACTAATAGATTCCATTTTTTATTAAAATGTTTCGTACGCGTCCTCTAATAATTTTCAAAATTATGGCTGGGTAACCGCAAACGAGTTTAAACCTCTTTGAATCAACTCATATTATTATAGATATTCACATAGATACGGGATTCCCCGTTCGGCACCTCCCCCCACAAGGCAAAATTTACCATTACATTAAGGTATCAAATTAAATCCAAACAATGTCAAAATATATGAATTTGAAAAATAAATATGAAAATAAAATAAAAGGAAATGATAATATTCGTGGCGACTATTGTATACTGAAATCATAACGAAGTACGTGATCATGGTAATGAGCGTAAAACTAAAAATAACTCACAAGTAAACACAGTTGTAATCTGCAGTATATTTTCCTTTTACATATCGAGAAAAAGATAAAAATTTGACGAAATAAAAAAATAACGAAGCACTGAAATCGACGATGTAAATAACGTCTACATAATTGAACATCGTTTGACATTATACCTATATTGTTGGTCCACATGATTGACGCTAAATACCTTCAGTAATTTATCGGTGTCTTTGAAATACGTTTGTCTCTTGGTCAATGTAACTTTCTTTCTCTTCCGGCTCTTCATGAAATTAATATTTTTTCTACGGGAGGATGTTAATTCAAGCATCTCCTCGAGGCGTACGCGTATAGGCCATCCATTATCGCTGTCTGAATTGTCGTCAAATGGTACACCACCATTGTAGTAAGCTGTCTCATCTATTTCGGTTAATACACGGGAATTCGATAGATTTTCAAATGCTTTTATCGGATAATCAGTTATGGTATTGCTTGCAACTGAAGCTGAATCGTAAACGCGTACTGGTCGCGCCAGTGACGATCTTCTTCTAGCTTTTATCTGTAAATTAATGGGTTGACTAGTATCACCACTGCTATTGTTCTTGCGGTGTCGATCGTTAATGTAATTTGTCAGAATAACTCTAGGGTGTATTGCACTATCAGTCACGGATATTGTTTCGTGACGACAATATTCATTACACTGAAGGCAGTCGTAATATTTATCGGAGGATTTGGGTCTGGTTATCAGGAGATTATCGTTCCATGGACTTTTGCATTCTGACCCTTTACTCCCGGACTTTAGCAGACTTTTTGGCTTATTTGAAGGCTTCTGTCACACCTCCTGCAGGTACTTGAGGGGACAGAGGGTCTCGCGGGATCGTACGTCACCCTCCTCCGTCACGTGACCCGACGATCTTGTGTCGGCGGCACAACGCACCATTGCTATGCCGTCCAACTCTTCGCCGACTTGAATCACTATCTGGAATTGTTTGTTAGTTTTTTAATTATTTAAGTTAGTCTGTCGGAAAAAATTGAATGGGGAATCTAGTATTCGATATTCTGTTGGATGATTCATTCCCTTTCTCAACGATTTCTACTAAAAATTGTGCCATTTTTTATGACGTAGGGGAGCATGGGGCAAAATGAAACGGAGCAAAATGAAACAGTGGGAAAATCTCGTCATCTAAAGGAGATAGGACATTTTTGAAGAGGACCTTTTTTGTAGCTTGTAAAATTCTCTACAAAAAAGGTTTCCATGAAAATCGTTCTATCTCCCTTAGATCACAAGATTTTCTTGCTGTTTCATTTTGCCCCGTGTTTCATTTTGCCCCATGCAGATTTGCCCATTTGCAGATTTTCATTAAATCTCTTCAATTTTTCTATTATCGAAAGTGGATTAAAACTACTGAAATGGGGGGGGGGG